ATTTAACTTTGCAAAATAATCGCCAAAACACAAGATCAATTATCTTATTTATCTTAAATAAAATATACTTAATATGCAAAGATTTCTTGAATATCATATATGATTCTCCCATCATTCACCTTAGAACAACATTACACTTTTGAGAAGAGTTTGTTAATGTTATATGCATTATGAAGCAAAACTTGAGAAAATATGTTTTTGCAAATATGATGGTATGAAATCATAGGAAATGTATTAGAAATTAAAAAAATAAATTAGACTACTGAAAATTTATTTTTCATAACATGGTATAACAGTGTAACCGGTAAAACGTCAAAAAGGACAATTATGTGTTATATTTGTAACACTGAAATACTTGGGACAACTATGTGTTATAACGGCGCACATGTCTTAAAATGTGGCACATAACGGCGCACATGTCTTAATATGTGGCTTAATTTGATTGGGGCTGTCTGAATTTTGGGGTTTTTATTATTTTATTTGAGTTATTTTAAAAGGCCAAAAAACATAATTTTCCCCAAATCGAAATCTAGGGTTTCTCCGCCGTTTCTCCATCCTTCTCCAATTCCGACCAAGAACTCCAAATCGAATCTTTCTCTGCCGGTTCTCCGGCCAATTTGTCAAGACCAACGTCTTGGTAAGTTTAATCGACCTCAGTTTCTTCTTCTATGCTCGAAATCTAGTCAATTTAGCTTGTATTAGGATATGAATTTCTTATTCGAAATGGATTTTGTATAGAAAATGGGTAAATGGAAACGCACGAACATGTTTGGTGAGGAGTTCGATACTGGGTCCAACAACAGTAACTCATCATCTTCGGATGACGAACTCCCTCCATATGATTATATGGCAGATATCACTCCGACTCGAGCTGCTTCGACTTCGGTGACATGGGAGCCAGAACCTATTGGCATTCCGACCACAAGTTACTGTGGCAAACCAGCTGTGCTTAAGACTCAAATAATTGGGTTGTTGACTGGGCAAAAATTCTACTCTTGTTCTGGTGATATTCGTGTAAGGATCCAACTTATCTATTTTGTGCTTATTGTTATCCATTTCGTGTTTATTGTTAACCTTATCATTTTGATAATGTGAAGGATGGAGATTGTCACATTTACAAGCAGTTGAGTGATGCATTCTTGGAGGAGATTACTTTAACCAAAACCAAATACGGAGAAATAGAAGATCGCCTAGTTCAAATGCTCGGCCAAATTGATGAAAAGAAGAAGAAGTTTGAGGAGAAGGTCAACTTTTGCAAGGAACATAATGAAAAATTCCTTGAAAGCATTCAAAAGGAAGTCAATAACCTAAACCAAAAATATGGCGCACTACCTTCGTGCAAAGATAGAATATTTGGGGACGGTGTTGGAGAGTTGAAGTGAGGAGCTTATCCACAAATCCTACTCTTGTTCCTTGTTTAAGTATTTTTTGTTTAATTACTTTTATGGTTGTTTAAGGGATCTTTGTTTAATTACTTTTATGGTTGTTTTAGAGATCTTTGTTTTATGACTTAGTATCTTTGTTTAAGTACTTTGTTTAAGTACAACCAGCCTACATAGTATTACCAGTATTACCGGTATAACCAGTATAACTAGCATACATAGTATTACTAGTAGTATTCATATTACCA